GTTCAAATTATATCGTGTTTGATATCATTTTCATCAGAAAAATCTCACCAACATGTTAAAAAAAATTGCAGATGAATAAAAGTAAAATTAAAGAAATTATATTTTTCTATTATGATTTGTCGAGCCGTGAAATCTCGTAAAGGAAACCGACTGGTGTAGCGTTACACGCTTGACTGACTGCGAGCGAGATAACATGGGCGCAGCAATGACGCAGACCTAGGCGTAGGACCATCCATACTGTCACTAGTAGAATCCAAACTTACTGACTCTTGTGGAGAATTTACTGTACTGGTTACTGGACACTTGAGGGCAACGGCCATTGCAGCGAAGACGATTGTTTAGTAACATCTGCATAGGCTGCACTTAATGTATTAGTAATGGTCTGCATACGCAATTTCAATGGATAGTACTGAAAGTTTTTTATTAATATCTCGGAAACTAATGATTGGCTGAAGCTAATACATATTTTATATTTGAACCCCACCCCCTCGAATCTCGTTTCTTTTTTTAAATCAGGAATTACGATACAGTGAGAAAATTCACTCAAGATAAAAAAATCGCGATCACGGTCGTGAATGAAGTCAAATGATGACCGTGATCGTGATTCTACGGTCACTGTGATAAATCACAATCAGTGAATTTGCACGTCATTCTAGACGTGACATTTTGCAATAAAAGAAAATAGTAAAACGTTAAAACATATCGTTATTAAGATATTATTATTATTACGTTCTTGTTGTTATTAAATTTATTTATTGTTCTATAAAAGATTTAACGTTAAATTTTCTAATTCATTGTAAATATATTAAACGCCCACGAGTAGAGTACTTTAGCGCTCCACAAGTAACAACTCCATCAAATTCCCCAAATATCACACAACAATTCTGATTTGAAAAAAAATTGAAAGGATGTACAAATTCCTTATTCACTAGAATTTACTGTACTATGTTGGCTACACTTTTATTTCGAATCATTTGTCAACTAATTCGTTTGAAATCAGTTTCCAGTGAAATAAAAGTATTTTAAATAAAAGCTATTAT